TTAGTATATTTGCAAATACACTCGGGTAGGGCAATTAATGTTTTTTAAAAGACTCCTCAGAAGCTTTATAGTTTATATATGATTTTAAATACGTATGTTGCGTATCTGAAAGTGAGGAACATATGTGTTTATGTGCCACAATTCTTACACAAAAGTTTCACGTAACATAGAGGCTCTAGTGTTGATACTTGATCCGTACGTAAACGTGTGGGTCATCCACGACTTCTAAGAGTTGCTCGGTGTTTATTTACTTTACCGTCTATCACGTACTCGACCACATTATGGGAGAGTGAAGCATCCAAAATCTTCATTACACTTAATTCGAGAGAGGGAGATAATTATACGATCGAGAAAAGATGACAACCTTACAGAGTGATTCATGTTAAGAGAAGAACCAAGAATAACATTAAAAGTTCCTATAAACGTATGTCGTATTGTGTACTGATGAGACTTGGATGGTCTGATAAGAAATTATCAAAAAACAAAATATAAAATGCGGCAACTTATTCAAAAATCCAAATAGATGTTTCGAAACAGTCAGGAACGTAGACATTTTTTACTTACCTCTACGGTATGGACAAAATTATCCCACAGGGCGTTCCTTAATGATACGCGAATATTTAAGGCTGTGAATCTACCTGGCATATTAATGTTAGTTTGCTTTATAAACTATGGGCTAAAAATGTTTCCTTACAAAAACTCGGGATTTCGAAGTTTTAGGAAAAAAATGGAAATTAATTAATATTTTCGGAACCGCTTCAGATATTTCACTTCCTCAATTTCAGGTGTTCTCACACTTAGAGGTCTACCTTCAGATGTCGCTTTTTGGACAGAACCAGTTTCAACAAGACGACGATAAAAATTAGAAAAGGTTCTACTATCTGGCAAAGCACGATCGGGATGTCTCTGGTGATAAATCCGTCTGGCTTACTCACCATTACCGTCGGCAATGCCATATACGTAATGCATTTCCGTCATTTTTGCATTTGAATAATTCAGCATTATTATCAAGATTGTAAAAACTAAATAATGAAAAAGATGTCCTAGCGAACAGATTTGGATAACAGAGACTTGTCAGATGTCAAAAGCCAGTAGCATATTCCAGAGCAACTAGATATTTATTGCTAAATTGCATTCGTCAATTATTACATTAATTTTCTCGGACAATAGAACGCTTTTTATTTTTTTACTCATGGCGCATCGAAAAAAAAAACTCAAGAGAGATCATTTGTTTTAAATTGAACGGGGAATTAAAAAACAATATTCATTTGGCAAAAAACCATTTTCTTAAAAAGTATCAAATATCAAAATATCAAAATCATTTTTTCATTTTAAAAATATGAAACTTTATTAACTTTCACTACGTACTAAATATCAGTGAAGTATTTGAAGCGGTTCTGAAAATATTAATTTCCATTTTTTTCCTAAAACTTTAAAACACCCCGAGTTTTTGTAAGGAAACATAGTTTATGAAGCAAACTATCATTAATTTTTTATGTAGATTCACACCTTTGAATATATTATTAAGGAACACCCTGTATAACTTTTTTTCAAAAAAGGTCCTACAAAAAAGTTAAGAGAGAGGTAGGTCAATTGATACCGGGACACCCTGCACAAAACTTTGAGCTGACACCTTTATCAGCTCCAGTGAAATATTCTACAGGGTGTTTTAGTTTATTGTTGCATAACTTTAAGATTCGATAGAACTTTTAAAACTAATGCATAAAGTCTATATAAACATGGGTCGAAAAATGCGTGGCTTCCGAGATATACTTTACTTTTTAAAATAGTTTTTTTTAAATATTTGGAACAATATTTGATGTATAACAGTGAAAATTGGTATACAAGGGTTCTTTGGTACGACAAAACGAACCATGGGCATAGTTTTACTGTAGCCGCTAGAGGGCGCTCTCTACTGTACCTGTAGTGTATTAAAATGACCGAAAAATTTTTCTTAGTGCAACTTTTTGCTTTTTGAATAAACAAACTGATTCTTCGCACTTTTCTGCATAAAAAAGCTCTCCTGTGAGTTTTCGTTATAGTTAGCCGATTTTGAGATATTTCGATTTTTAAGGTTCGATGCATTTTTGATTATTTATGTGAAAATAATATTTTTTTTACATTTTCGATTTGGGCATTACAAGTAATTAAGATGATCGTTTAGATTGTGTTTTTAAACACAGCAATAATTCCTAACTCCAAATAAACACAAAAAAACAGAATATTAATTTGTTTAATTTTAAAATATTATTTTTAACAAATTAAATTAATTATTTACAACTAAAATGCTATTGGATAGTTACGACAAACATACAAAATATAAAGTAGTTGCTCGAAATGTAAACCCAATTGTTCAATACACAATTCACACCTACGAATGATCTAAGGTGGTATAGCATTATTCAAATAAGGCCTTATTTCATCACATGCATTCCTGATTCTGTCTATTAGCATATCTCTTGTGGTTACGGGAGTCTGGTACACTTTTTTTTTCAGAAATCCCCACACAAAGAAATCTAATGGATTTAGGTCAGGGGATCGTGGAGGCCAGGCGACTGGTCCTCCACGGCCGATCCATCTTTCTGGATAATTTTCGTCCAGCCAGTTTCTAACTATTCTCGAATAATGAGCTGGACAACCGTCAAGCTGGAACCAGGCCAATCTTCTTAAATCTAACATAACATCATCCCACATATTTGCATGTTCAGCCTTTAAAAATTCCAAGAAGGTCGCAGCATTTAACCTTGCAGGCAAAAGGTAGGGTCCAAATAGTCGATTACGGTACATACCAATCTACACGTTCACAATAAATTTCTTTCCCGAACTGCATGCGGATTTTCATGGGACCAAGTATGCTGATTATGAAAATTTACCACTCCACGTCTAGTGAAGCATGACTCATCGGTCCATAAAACGTTACTTAAAAACTCCCTATTATTAACAGTTCTATCAAGAATCCACTGACAAAATGTGATTCTTCGATCTCCGTCCCCTGGCTGTAGTCCTTGCATAGGTTGCAAATGGTAAGGATGTCTATGGCCATTTCTAGGAACACGGTGAACAGGGCTTGCTGAAATTTCCAAGGCACCAGAAACTCTCCTAACACTTGTGATCGGATCTCTATCAAACTCACGCAGAATCATACGGGTAAATCTGCGCTGACGAACATTTATGTTTTGATCCCTTTGGAGATTTCCAAAACCATTTTCAATTATTTGGCGATGCACTCTTACAAATACTGAGCGAGTTGGATGTCGTCTGTTTGGAAATCTTCGTGCGTATTCTCTGGCTGCTTCTGCTGCGTTTCCATTTACAAAGCCATACACAAAATGAATATCCGCTAACTATTGATTGGAGAATAAAAATGGCATTTTTATAAAACTTACAAAAAAAAACAGGTACAAGAAACTAAATTTCGTGCATTCACAATTGCAAAAAAACGTTTCAGGTTCCAACAGACAACAAAACTAACTGTCAACTAATTGACGTTTAACCTTATTCTGCTTTCAATTACAAAAATATTTGCAGACACAGCCTACTTCTAAAAATTATCGAGATACTGACTTTTTAACGTTATTTTGTCATAAATAATTAAAAATGCATCGAAGCTTAAAAATCGAAAAATCTCAAAAACGGCCAACTATAACGAACATTCACAAGAAAGCTTTTTTATGTTGAAAAGTGCGAAGAATCAGTTTTTTTATTCAAAAAGCAAAAAATTGCACTAAGAAAAAATTTTCGGTCATTTTAATACACTACAGGTACAGTAGAGAGCGCCCTCTACAGTAAAACTATGCCCATGGTTCGTTTTGTCGTACCAAAAAAACCCTTGTATACCAATTTTCACTGTTATACATCGAATATTGTTCGAAATATTTAAAAAAAAACTATTTTAGAAAGTAAATTTAAACACCCTGTATTTCGGAAGCCACGCATTTTTCGACCCATGTTTATATAGACTTTATGCATTAATTTTAAAAGTTCTATCGAATCTTAAAGTTATGCAACAATAAACTGAAACACCCTGTATATTCGATATTTTGCACAGTGATAAAGGGCCCACGTTCGCAGGAACTTTTCGTGCAATTTGGCCTAGCTTCCTTGTGCTAGAAGTTTTCACTCTCACTTTCTTACGTTACAGCGCACAGATCTGTCCATTAGCACTTAAACGTAATATTTCATAATACACCAGGCCAGCATTTAGCGCTGTTGAAAACCACCCAGACCTGTAACGTTATACCGTATGATCATCGGTGGAAAACCGCTTATTATTCAGTGAATGTTCCAATCGCACAAAAGAAGCAGATGTAATTTTGCCATCCAGCTATGCATATAAACATCGGCAAAGCAACAACGAATTATTAAATAGTTGTTGCCGCCAATACGCACCTCGAGCGAAAATAGACCTGACTTCATTGAGTTTCTCGAATCGTACATTCATTTATCAGGCATTCGCGAATACCACTCGTTAGAGAATGCGAAGTGTATACAATATACAATACATTATGTGATATTGCACAGTTTTGTTTGCTTTTTCATAACTATTGTTATTTTATGTAGTCGCGTCTCACAGAGACATAATGAGCCGTATTCATGAAACAAAGGATATCCTTGTACTTGCAAATTTTGAAGGAAATCCTCCAGATGGTATTCATAATAATTTGGAGTAAATGCTTTTGCTTTTTGAGTATAAGCATATCCTTCAAAGCAGTGACATAAGTAAAAGGATATTCATAATCTTCACCTTATACTTGGCATAGGAAGCATATCCAAAAATTCTGAGTGTGGTCAGTAGCAGACTCGACTTCGTAACGATGATGGCGGAAATTGTGGATGTTAGGGATGTTAAAACGTACAAACCTCGTTTACCTTCTCTTGGTCGCGACTTCAAAAAATGATATCGGTTCGACGAATCAAATGTACAATGGCTTGCGGACAGATTTTTAGTTGAGAATGAGGAAACTCGAGGAGGAGCACTTTGATGTATTCATAAAATGAAGATATGTCTACGCTATCTCGGTGACCCTGGATCAACAAGGTATTGGTCAGGAACTTGGTGTTAGTCAAACAACGGTATCTCAGACTGTGGATAGAGTTGTGAACAGCATAGTTGCACAATCGACCGAACGGATCAAGTTTTCAACTACTAACCATGAACTGATGGAGGCCAAGCGAATACGGCAAACAATGTATAAATTTCCGACAGCAATTGGTGTAATTGATTGTGCACATACAGGGTGTCCCAGAAGTCGACGTCAAGCCGAAACCAGGTGATAGGCAAAGTCATAACAGCTATCAGAAAAATATGTAAAAAAATTGTATGTATGTGTTTTGAAAATTATAGGTCTTTGAAAAAAATATAGAAATTTCACACCCTACGGCAGTCTGTCAACTCCTGTTACTACAAATATTAACTTTTTTTTGGATTTTATTTTTACAATGTAATGATGAATAATGCATCTTCAAACTGGTGTCTCAACGTTACTGCCAACTTTTCTCGTTCAGGAAAAATTTCCACTTATTTCCCAACCAAGTATTCCAAAGTAAAACTTTGCTCAACTTTAACTGGCTGTACTGGAAAAAAATGTACTACGAGAGTTTGGCAAGTAACCTTAAAAGTTGGCGCATTTAATAAGGATTCCAAAATGGTATAACACTTAGAAGATTATTCGTTAACTTATGCACAATTTTTATTTGAAGAAAAACTGATGAAAATTTTTCAAAACTTCCTAATTAAACAGCGATTATGAAAACGCACAAGGACCCTTAAGGATAACTGTTTACCACAACAGTGGGCGTCAAAATGCTGCTGATGATGATTTACCTTTACAGCAAATGCTCAAACTGTTTTCCTTCAGCCGCAATACACGCTCGACATCTCATCAAAAAAGATCGGGTTATTAAACGAGCGAATCCACGGTTATTAACAAACTCAGCTGCTTCCAATAGTCTTTGCCGTAGCTCAGCTACATTTTGAATCGGCTTGAAATACACTTTTTCTTTTACAGTTCCCCAGTAAAAAACTCTAAAGGATTCAAATCAGGTGATCGGGCTGGCCACGGTATTGTACCAGACCGCCTTATCCATCTGCCTGGAAAGTTTTGATCGAGATACTCTCTCACTGAGAGTGCATAGTGCGCTGGGCAGCCATCATGCTGAAACCACATGTCCCTGTAAATACTCAGTGGCACGTCCTCCAATAAATTTTCTAAATGATTTTGCAAAAAACCTAAATAAACCTCAGCAGTCAAAGTCTCTGGGAACTCAAACGGACCGATTATTTTACCATTTAAAATTCCTGTCCAATGGTTTATCTTGAAGCGATATTGAGATTTATCTTCTCTCATCAAATGTGGGTTTTCTACGTGCCACTTGTGTAAGTTACGCAGGTTCATGTACCCATCTTTCTTAAATGTGTTCTCATCTGACCATAAAATTTTTCAAAGAACCGTGGATCTTCCCTGTGTCTTTCTAACATTGTGCGGCAAAAAGCAACTCGGGGCTCATAATCCAGGGGCAGAAGAGCTTGAACACGCTGTACGTGGTATGGATGGAGCACGTTTTTTTGCAAGATTCTATGGGCTGTACTTTTGGGTACACCTGTTTTTAGTTCTATTGCACGCACTGAAGTACTCGGGTCTTCTTCGACAGCTCCTAGCACCACGTCTTCGTCAGGAAGGAAATATCTTCCCTCACCGTGTGATTGGTTTGGTAGTTGGCCCTCTGAGAACAGTAAGCGGTGCACATTTGTGAACACTCGATGATCTGGATGACGAGCTGCATTCGGGTACCTCTCACAGTAAAGTCTCGCTGCAGCACTAGCGTTGCATCTGCATTCCCCATAAATGAGGTGCATGTTAGCATATTCTTGTACGGTGTACACGGACATAGCGGCACTGCACAATCACACTATCAAAGATAATCTAAGGCAAGCAAATGTTGTTTTGAAGAGCAATTAAACAGTCCAAATCCAAATCACAAGCGATCAACAGTCCAGTTCACGAATCCAAAATTAGTAACAGTACGAAATCAACAAGCACGAACATGTGAAGATGCGCAGTAAACGAAGAAGTACTGATCGGTATCAAAGTGTGCAATAGCAAGTAAGTGATGTGCTTCATCCATACCACATACAGCGTGTTCAACCTCTCCTGCCCCGAGATTATGAGCCCCGAGTTGCTTTTTGTCGCACAATGTTAGAAAGACACAGGAAAGATCCACAGTTCTCTGAAAAAATTTTATGGTCGGATGAGACCACATTTAAGAAAGATGGGTACATGAACCTGCATAACTTACACGAGTGGCACGTAGCAAACCCACATTTGATGAGAGAAGATAAATCTCAATATCGCTTCAAGATAAACCATTGGACAGGAATTTTAAATGGTAAAATAATCTGTCCGTTTGAGTTTCCAGAGACTTTGACTGCTGAAGTTTATTTGGATTTTTTGAAAAATCATGTACAAAATTTATTGGTGGACCTGCCACTGAGTATTTACAGGGACATGTGGTTTCAGGTATGATGGCTGCCCAGCGCACTATGCACTCTCAGTGAGAGAGTATCTCGATCAAAACTTTTCAGGCAGATGGATAAGGCGGTCTGGTACAATACCGTGGCCAGCCCGATCACCTGATTTGAATCCTTTAGATTTTTTTACTGGGGAACTGTAAAAGAAAAAATGCATTTCAAGCCGATTCAAAATGTAGCTGAGCTACGGCAAAGACTATTGGAAGCAGCTGAGTTTGCTAATAACCGTGGATTCGCTCGTTTAATAACCCGATCTTTTTTAAGAAGATGTCGAGCATGTATTGCGGCTGAAGGAAAACAGTTTGAGCATTTGCTGTAAAGGTAAATCATCATCAGCAGCATTTTGACGCCCACTGTTGTGCAAACAGTTATCCTTAAGGGTCCTTGTGCTTCTGACGCTGCGTCATTTCTAATTTCGTTTCGTAATACTCTTGTTGTAAAATACTTGTTTGGTACTGCTGTAATAGCACTTTCTAGTTAACCCTTTGGTTACCTCAATTTCGTATTTCTCTGTTGCTGATTTTCTTTTTGGTAGCAATGTCTTCTGTATTGCTGGCGCTGTAATATTAACTGTTTGCTCACTGCGCTCGGTATATAGTTCACTACCTTCTTCTTGAACACTACCAACCTGAATGGCACCTCTAATTTTCCCAATTGTAGGATTACAGTCACCTTCCATAGCTTTCCGCAACTTTCTTTCCCAATTTAACAATTTCATTGCTTTATTACCAGTTTTTTTATCTGTTTTTTTCTTCAATCTTGATTTCATCTTGTTAATTTTTTTTTAAGCCTTTAGTATCTAATGGTTTACCGAATGTTGATTCGTATTTTTTCAACATCTTCTTCAAGGCATCGTCCTTTCTCATTTTTGTTTTTGGAACTTTTGACTTTTGCAAAATAATGGGAGCAATTGCAATTTCATCTGCGATGAACTGCAGGTCGTTGCCTTTATTTTCTATAGTTTGCTCATCACTTGAGGATGACATGCTTATTAATTTGATAAAAAACTGTATCCAGTAAAAATACGGAACGGTCTGGGTAAGCTCTGGAGTACAACTGTCAGTGATGCTGAGTGAACGAACTCCCACGTCAACTACAAGATGGAACAAGTCAGGACATGTCGCTCAAGACACAAATACCAGTCAACCTTTTACTTCTTCTTGGAGGATATCCTCGCGAGCATAAGGTAATCATTATGAATATGAAAATAAGGATATGCTTATACTTCTACCTTTTTCTCCGAAGCAAGACCTTATACTTTTACCTTATCCTTCCGAGACTATGCTTCTCTTTTATGAATTCGGCTCAATATTGTACTGGCATATGGACATAAAGTCAAGGCTATGCGATTAAGGCGATATACGAGGCTTGTCTCAAAGATAAGGTTCCCACATTCTTTTCAGCCACAAGAATGTTTTTATTTGAAAAAGCAAATCCGCCATTGGGAACGTTGATCTTTAAGTAATTGTAGTCGCCATTTTTTTCTACGCATTTTTTTAGACGTGAAATCCCGTTTAGAAACTTGGAAACTGCTTCTCAGCCAAATCGCTCGATTAAGTCCTTCGTTTGTTGTGAGACATGACTAAGAGTTCGCCTAAAGTAAGCAGATCTTTTACCTGTTGCGAATAATCAACAATAATACTATTGCAAATTCATCAAGGTACAGTTCGATGACGCGAGATTTAGTGTCATTAAATATGTCGCAGTGAATATTGTACACATTAACAAGGAGCATTGAAACATATCTTACTTAAAATATATGGACAATAAATCTTATTGTGGAGTAAACGGAACAAAGAAGGCAGAGCGGAAATATTTCGGCGTACTTCAAGCGGTTTGATGTCAAAAGTTTTGTAGAACTAATATTGGTTTAAACTTTCTAGTGGTTGGAATGCAAAACAAATCTGAAAAACTGTAGTAAATTTGCTGATATCTTTGCTTGTGAAATGTTAACGATCAAATATACTAAGTGACATATAAATCCGAATACCCAGTTTAAATGGTTTCATTTTAATAAAATTTTGTATGAGTACTTAATGAAGCATAATAAGTAAATGATAAAAATTTCAAAATGATTGCACTGCTTTAAAGCCCTTTGACCTTTAATAATGGGTGGATGCACCCTGATGTGCTACGCATTCTCCAACGCGCTAAGCATGTTTCTGATCAGGTGGTCAATGTCCTCCTGTGGTATCTCATTCCAGGCAACCACCAAATCCTCTCGAAGTGCTTCTAGAGTCTGAGGAGGACGTTGCAAATTGAGCAATCTCCTACCCATCATATCCCACACGTGCTCAGTTGGGGATAAGTCGGGAGATCTTGGTGGCCATGGTAACAATGTGTCATCATTATGTTGAAAGAAGTCTATTGTGACTCTTGCAACATATGGTCGGGCATTATCTTGTTGGAAAGTTGGATCTGCCAGGGTGTCAAGATAGGGTAAAAGATGGTGTTCTAGAACTTCGTGGATATAACGCTGCGCGTTCATGTTACCTCTGATGAAGATTAAAGGTGACCTGGAACCATAAGCTATAGCACCCCAAACCATAACTCCAACAGTGTGATGAACATGTCTTTCAACAAAAAACTGTGGATTCCTCCTTTCACCACGTCGCCTTCTAACCCTGGCACGACCATCGTGCATGCCTAAACAAAATCGAGACTCGTCACTAAAGACATTCCTGGTCCCAGAGTGACCGTTATCTGCACCACTCAAGGCGATTACGTCGGTGTTCTCGAGTTAAAGGGAGGACCCAGTGTGGCCGGTATGAAAACAAGCCAAAACTTCTCATTCGTCGGTAAACACTTCGCATGCCAATAGGTCTTCCGTGTTCTGCAAACCATTCATTTGCAATGGACCTGGTAGTGGAGAAACGGTCCCTTACGGCCAATAATCTTAGGCGGCGATCTTCACGGTCTGTGGTTCTACGGCGGCGTCCAGTGCCCCTTGCTCTTTGCGTACGGCCTTCTCGAAGCCATGCCTGACAACACCTAACCACAGTGTCTACACTTCTTTGCACTCTAACTGCAGTTGCCCGAAAAGAAAGTCCAGCTTCCCGAAGTCCCACTATACGGCCCCTATCAAACTCACTAAGTTGACGAAATCGTACAGGTCTCGGTACTCTAGGCGATCGTAAAGGATGTCAAGAACCAAAATCCGCCAACGTTGATTCTTTACTGCGGCTGAAATATTCATTTTTAGAGCGTTAGTGAATTAAAAAAAAACAGTATAAAAACCGGAATGGCCAACTGATAAGGCTGAAAATTTTTTCACTTGTTATTTACAGTAAGATAAATACATTCACCAACTTTTATTAAAATAAAACCATTTAAACTGGGTGTTCGGATTTATATGTCACTTAGTATATATTGCGGCGTCATGGAAATAATTTTAAATTTTCATTTGCATTTTTTCAAGTGTTGTGCAATGATTTTGGGAAAAAGTCACGAATAGTCTTATAAAGCATAGTAGATTATATTTCAACAGTTGGCGGAACTTACTCCACCAGGACCAGGAGGGTGAAACGGGATATTAATGCACAATCTGGCAACACTGTCGCACCCTCACAAAATGGCCGCTGATAACCACACAAGTCACCGTGTTGTCATTGAATAGCATGGAATTAAACCTTCAGAGTATATGTTTTGTGACTGGTACCAAGAGTTGACAGATCCCACACATGTGTCACTCCTTGAAATGCAATAATCAGCTGTATTCAAATAATGTCTAATATAAATATAACCTAGAATGTGTACTCGTGAAAAAAGAAAAATATGGCAAATTTGTAGTTTTTTTTGCAGGTTTTAGGTTTGCTGGTAGCTTTAAGGCATATATTTGGGAATTTCTTAATCGCTGTGAATATAGTGTGGATGTTTGTTCAGTTCCTGAACAACGAAAAATATTCAACTTTATGGATGTATGGATATCAAAAAACCTTAATGGTTTTGTGGAAATATCAATCTAAGGTGCCATAATGGTTCTGATGAACGGCAAGTAAATGAATGAATGTTTGGAAACGAGCAATATCTTTTGGTAGAGCCTGTCATCAAGTAGATGCTTAATGGCTATCTGCAAGAGGTTTATAGGAAAAAACACCCAGTATCACATATCAATTGAAGAAAATAATATAAACATGAATAAAAAATCAACAATAGTAATTAAAACATGAATTTAATTCAAAAATCAAACATTTCTTAAAATTTTGAATGATTTATATGTAATTTCTTAATATTCAATCAGCTGGTGATGTTTCAATGACAAGTTGTCATCTCATACTTTGACAGTATTTTGTTTTCAACATTTCATAGCTATTGGTTGCTAAAATTTGTTGATTGGAACTTGAAGCTCATTCGCTGTATCTGACGGTCTGTTACCCTATAGATGGAGAATAACGGACTGTTGTTGGTGAAGTTGGCCCTAAATATGCTAATTTCGGAACAATAACTTTGGACAAAGAGGTTGATAAATAATATTCGTCATAAAAGGATAACTATCACTCGAGTGCTTTTAGTTTTTTATGTCGCAAACGAAGCGAGATATAAAAGAAACTCAAGAGGCGAAAAAATTGTATTTTTAGCTGCGTAATTCTAAAGAAATAAAGTAACTGAAAAAAGTTACACTGACGCACAAATTTATTGTCAAAGATTAGGGTATTTTTGGGACCTCACTGTACTTAATAATTTTAATCTAATTGGGACTAAATTAGACCCTTACTGCACTTAATACCACTGCTGAATTTGAACAAAATCGGCTGCAAGTTTATTAAGTTATTTAGGAAAAACCGATTTTTTAAAAAAAGTTTGGCACGCTGTATTTTGAAAATGAAGCAGTTCTGGACCTATGTTTATATGAACTTTTTATCTTAAAATTACTCAGAGAATTACCTCCTGGAGTTTGGTCACGTACTTAATAACACCCTGTATAGAGACGTAGGTTTTTCTACAAGATGTCAACTTAGCACTAGCTGGAAAGTACATATGCAATTTTTCTGAAAAAGAGGGCGATACGAAAAGAAAATATCTGGTTGCAGAAGTATATTAAAACAAACAGGTCAGAAAATATACATACAGGAGAGTATTTATGAAACGTATAAAAGTTATTACACTTCACATTAGTTTTTATTTCCTGTCACTTTAATTAGGTATACAGAAATTTATTTTACGATGTCAAGTAGAAAATACGAATCAACGCCTGAATGTGAGGCAATGCGAAAATATTTTGTATGTGATGCGTCATTCCTATTTTTCCTGTGATGTTGAACCAAGAGGTTAGTTGTTGGGAAACTGACATGAATGTTTGTCATTGTCAATAATGGCTACAGCCTATATTGTGATGGAGAGGTTCGACCTTCAAGACAAGGTCATCAAGTAGATGAATCACTGACCCTCCAGAATAGTTAGAAAAACATTGGCGGATCTAGAGAGGCGTACGGGAGGCGCCCTCCTCCCCTAGATGCCGAAGTCTGCCCGCTCTGTTTCAATATAAGAGTTGTACGTATTGCTTTATCTTAATACGGAAAATAACCTCACTAGACCTGAATCATGGGGATGCCCTCTTAGACGTATCCAACACCCGCTCTTCAGTTTTCAATTTTCAAAATCACCCTCCCTGGGACATCTTTCTGTACAGGGTGGCCCAGGTACAGTAACACGCATTCTTTTTTGGCCACCCTGTACAGGAAGATGTCTCACAGGAATTTACTTTTAAGATTCAAGATTGCGACCATTTCAGAAACTTGAAAGTATTTTTCAGGTTTTTCTCTTGGCTGATTTTTGCGACAAGCCTCTACGTTGGATGAGTTCCTTAATTGGTCACCCCTTACATGAATCCTGTCACCAACATTCTTCTCCCCCGCTAAAGGGATTACAAAGATTCGCCACCGTAGGAAATGCTTGCCAATTAGTAGGCTGCCAATTTTAACGCACAGTGCATAAAAATAGTACACACACGGAATATTCATCCACCCGACCATATTTAAAACAGCGTACCCAACAAAAAAAAAAAGCTACCTAGAATTGCAATTCCATTTTGTACGTCTGTACCCTTGAAATCGAAACAGAGAATTTAATCGACTTTATCGGTACGCTTCAATTGAAAAATCGTAGGATTTAATG